GGTAAAGATACAAGCATGGTTCCTTAGAGATGTCACACAATCTGTGGCCAATCTCTGTCTACTGGCTTCAGCATCCGAAGTCCCATCTTAAATCCCTCATAGCATGAGGAAAACAGGCCAGACTCAGCGCTCAGGTGGCTGGTAAACATGATGAGAGTTGTTTGTTTGGCTGCCATTAGTATTGGGTTCTCCACGCAGATAAAGTTTTCATGACAGAATGGCAATGTGACAGGAAACAGAAACTGTAGCCCTCCTAACTACTTTTCAAACTGCTTCAATAATAGATAACGGCTTATAAACATATCACAGGATGAAGAAAACAGTCTGTTATCGAGACACAAAATGATTCCGAAACGAAAACGGAGCCGAATAATCCATCACAAGCAAGAAGGTAATGACGAGGCCCTGATTAAAAGTGCCCTGTGAGGTCTCAGTAAGACAGGAGGAGAACGAGAGTGGACTAACTGGCATAAAATACTAGTGAACGGTTTTAAGTCACCTACACTATTGGGGTCAGTAAGAAATTATTTCTACTTCAACAAAGACGCATTAAATTGATAGCAAAGACTTTCACATTGTTACAAAATAAAATCTGTTGTTTTGAACTTTCCATTCATCAAAGAATCCTGTAAAAAAATCATGGTTTCCACAAAAATATTAAGCAGCTCATCCATTGGTAGTAATAAGAAATGTTTCTTCAGCACTAAATCAGCATATTATTTCTGAATGTTCATGTAACACTGAAGACTGGAGTAATGGCTGCTGAAAATTCAATGGCTGAATAAAATGTTAAAAGTTAATATATATATATATAAAAAATAATAATTTCACAACATTTGCTGTTTTACTTTATACTATTACAGACCCCACAATTTTGAACAGTAGTGTATGTACTCTTAAATATTGACTAAATTATTTTCAGCAGATATACACATTTAAAATGTACAGTTTTATTCTTCTGAGAGAATACCAACCAAAAATAATGATTTATCTTGCACTTAATTCTGTCAAAATGTTTGTTCAATAAAATGCTCTAAAAATGAACGCCCCCCCTAGTATATCTCAATGGCTGTAATGTAAACTAAGTTAATAAATTTAGTAACTAAATCTAAAATACCATTTAGAAAATTTAAATGTAAAATATTTCCTGCCCACTTTCCTGTTTTAATAGCAATAATGCCAACAAAGGGAAGAAATGTACAAGTAATTCCATAAGGTTTTTAAAGTACTTTCAAATCTAATACTGTCAGCTGGTGGCAGGACTACCTAAAATAAGTTGTTTAGTGATAAAATGACTAGTTTGTCAGAAGAAGAAGAGATCAGGCCATTGTTTTTTATTTATTTCATCTGGTCCTGCAACAGCAGTGGTTCTCAACCAAGGGGAGCCTCAGCAAACTTCCAAGGGGCCACGTGAGGCCTTAAAATAACTTAAAATAAGACAAAACAGGCATTAAAATAGTCTAAAACAACTAACAATCAAGACGTTTTCATCTATTAATTTAACCCCCTCAACAAATGTTTTTATCTTGTGAAAAACCAGGGTTCCCACTGTCTTGAAAAACCTGGATATGTGAGGCAGCCTGATTTTAAAAGTGTGATTTATAGTCCAGGAAATGTCATGTAAATTAATAAAACCTTATATCTGCCACAGGCATTTTACAATGAATATACATGTTACTAGTTATGCAAGGCTCTAAAATATTTTATAATGTACTGTAGATATGATGAGTAAAAAAAACTACTTCAGGAAACCTTACAGAACCAGAAGTGGCCAAGGATTAAAATAGGTTTTGAAACTACAAACATTGTTACGGACAATGGAGAGCCTTGGACTTAAAACAGTTGAGATCCACGGTCATATGGGCACAGAAATGACACACTCTAGCTTTAAGGAAAAGTTCAATTCTGTGACAAAGGAAGGCATAGGGGTTTTCTAAGGTCTTATTGTTCCACACCAACGCCCAAAGAGAAAAGGGGGTAAAATACTGAATGAGAGAAAGGGAGACAGTGTGTACAAGCTGTAAATCCCTTTACCTTATATAGACCTGCTACACTGAAGCCCTAAACTTAATCTTAGAAGGTCTGAAAAAGACACATTCACTTCTGTTTGGATACAGATAACATATTCATCAGAAATCTGTTCCTCTCGACTGCTGCGTTCCTCTAAACACACACATGTCCCTCGACTTACAGGTTTAAAAGCCCGTTATACTAGCCAGCTCTAAGACAAGCCCCATTACGGTGACCGGGCTCTTTAATGACCTGCATAACGGCTGCAGTAAATCTGACACCTTAGGACAGGCAGTGACAAGCAGCTCACGGAGGCAAGAGGGAGATTTTTATAATTTAAGACGAGGGTTTAATATACACAGGAGACGAGGCAGGAAGCTCCAGTGAGATGACACACACGTGTGTTTGTGTGTGGTAACTGGAGCGTGATGGATGATTGGGGTCGAGGGAGGAAGCTGCCCCCCTGTAAAAGTAGTTGTCAGTCACAGAAATGCTATGAGGTGATTGGATGAGACAGGCTCTGTGCCACCCTGCAGTTTTTCCCCAGAGCCCCACAGAAGCACCGATCTGTCAGAACTCTGATCAAACACCTCACGCTG